TCAGCGTTAGGTTTTGGCGAAATTTTGACGCTTCGACGGTAGCATTTATCGAAATCTGAGGGAATTGTCCTTGTTTATTAACACGACTTGGCTTTTGGATGATAACCGTGGAACAGCTACATTTTGATTGCATTTGTTGATTAGTTCCAGTCGTGACAGATAGCTCAGTATTTTCCCTGATGAATAAAGTAGTCTTATGGATCTTGCCTTCAGAGTACTTTTCCACCGATTCCAAACAATAGAATTTCGACCGGATAAAGACTCGAATTAGTCGCACGGAGTTTGTTTATGATAAACGACCACGCGAACCGAGCACGCGATTGCAAATGCTAGCTTAGAATAATTTACGTGATTTAAATATCCTATGAAACTTGAGAGTCTACAGAAACTGGCGGCGTCACGCAACGTATCAACAAATCGCGACCTCTTCACTAGCATGGACTTTGACACTATGCATACATGTTTCTGACTGTAAAACCTCGGTTGTTGCTGAAAAAAATTGATTTTAGCAATAGACAAAGGTTGAAAGTCAGCTAGTGAAATCATTTATTTACGGTATATATACACATTAAAGTGAGAGCGTCGAACGCACTCTCATAATCTCTGATTACTACTAGTTTTTTTTAAGGAATTATCAATTAACTTCGGTTTTGAGTTTGCCAAGGACTATGATGGATTCGAGAGCGTCGAACGCACTCTCATAATCTCTGATTACTACTAGTTTTTTTAAGGAATTATCAATTAACTTCGGTTTTGAGTTTGCCAAGGACTATGATGGATTCGAGAAACTCGTGCAACGTCTGCTAGCCAATCAGAATGAAGGTGCGCTCTTCTTGACCAATCAAACAGTCTTTATCTGGTTTGCGCGACTTTTCCCGCCCACGCATTACAAGTTACCGGTTTTTGCATCTGGTTCTGATTGGCTCCGTGCACTGGCCTTTTGTTTACAGAGAGGTTGTTACTAACGATTGACTTAGAAAACTCGCGCCACTTTGTCATCCAATCAGAAGTAAAACCAAAACCAATCATGACTCGCTCACACTCGTTTTCCCGCGCTTTGCGTCAGCCACATGTATTTGCATTACCGTTTGATTGGTTCAGTGGATTGTCTCTGTCCCCTGTGATTGGTCAGAGCTATTACTTTGGTTTTGGTTTAACGAAACTCAATTCACAACCACGCTAGAGATTAGCTCTGTGAAAACATTTGTTTGTGCCGGTTAACAGCAACTAAAACATCTCTCAGCAGCAAAAAATAAAACGTGCAAAGAAAACATTTTGTATCTAACCTCTCCTTCGTCGTCAAACACTATCTTTGTGTTTATCTTCACATTTTTGTTCAGTATTTTTTTGGCCGCAGCAATTTTGGTCTTTGGTTTCTTTGGCTTTCTCTCTTTTTGAACCAGGTCTTCCTGAAAAAAAAGGGTTATGGTTAAGACGTGATCTGACCGCAGTTCACATTCTACCAAAATTTCAGATTTGAAAGTGGATTATGTCATTTTAAGCTTACCTCTATTGAAGGTGGGCCTGGGTCAAAGTTTACATGGCGTTTCTTAAGGAATAGTAAATCATCTTGTTCAGCGGTATCATCTTGTAATTTCGAAGTGTTTACCAGATCCCTCTCGTCTTCACTTTCCTCGTCCCCAGACCCCTCGTCACTACTACCGCTGCTTTCCTGTGTTCGGTTGCTTGTCGCGAGGTCAATTTGTGACGAGTCATTTTGTTTACCATACTTTTTCTCCGCTTTCTAAGACATAAATATATACCAGATTAACGTTCAACAAGAGTGCCAGTTTGGTTATTTAATCAAAGTTACCAAATTAGTAGTCGTCAGTTTTTCATGCCTCTGTCCTGTTATTGATCATGAATTTCGTCATAACATTATTAAAGTAGCTCGGACTACTTTGACAATGTCATGACGACATGCATTGTCAATAACAGGACAGACGCATCAAAAACTGACATAGTTTTTTTAACTATTGCAAAGTTAATTATACAACTAGTATGAAAAACAAGTTATCACGTCATCTTACCTTAAGAAATCGAATCCGAGGAGGGTTGGGTAATCCAAGTGATCTACAATAAAAAGAAAATTGAACGTCTTCCTCTGTGGCTGCTATATTTTAACGTCGTCAGTCCCATATTCTTCCTTCTTTTCCTTTAAAATTACGCTCTTAGACAAACTAAAGTCATCTTCGTAGCGGTTGTTCAAATACTCAAATGTCGTTGTTTGACAGTGCCACACCTAGCTAGTTCTTAGGCATGCCAGCTAAACTGACAGAAACATACATATATCAACTGAACATAACAGACAAGTTAGCTATTTACAAGCGTGACCGAGGAGTTGAACTAGGGTCTACCGAGAAACAACTCCAGCTTAGTGGTCAGAGCGGGACTTGAACCCGTCACCTCCGGATTTCAAGTCCGGAGCCCTAACCACTCGCCCGCGCTGTCTACTGTTAAACCCCACACAAAACTTTCTTACAACGTTTTGCAGCCATTTTTTCGTTCAGGAAGCGTGCTGATTGCTTTTACTTCCTCACAACAAAGATTCCAACCAAAAGACTACAAGACAAGACTCACTGCGCAAACTCGTCCAAGGGAAGCTTGTTGACATCAAATATTTTTTTGTTTGACTGCAGGAACACTGATCTGGCGTAGGATACGATACTCTGAGGAGAAAATAGCCAATATGTGGTTAATTGTCAATAAAACAGTTGTTTTTTTACCTTAAATTACGATATTTAGAGCGGAAGCCACATCAGCCTTAGCTGGTTTTCATGCAGGTCCCCTATCCTGGTCCAATTGGAATTTGCGGCCGATAAATGCAAGCAAAACATTTTTGTGCATTCCTATGAGGGTTTTCCAAAAACAGTAGCAGTGTTGTTATTCCAATGTCTCACACCAGAAAACGAACTGCTCCAGACCTTGTTTTAGAAAATCCTCTAAGTACATGTAAGCTAAGTCTCCTAAGTGCCCTTCTTCCAATATGCGCACACTTTCGAACTGTGAAGAACGGCTCCCGAAAAAAAAACCTGTCGGCCGTCTGTCGGACATCTGTCGGAACACAGTCGGTTTTGGCCAAAGCCCCGGCCAAAGCACAGACCAACAGTCTGTCGACATCGCTGCAGAAAAACGACCAGACTATCTGTTTTCGGGTTTCTGAAACTATTTTGTTGATAGGATATGATACTCTATTCCTTTCTTTTCTACAGCAAACTTTCTGTCTTAGAAAACTGTTGGTAACCTGTCGGTAGCTTGTCGGTAACCTGTTGGTAACCCGTCGGCCGACAGTTGGCCGACACTGAGTCGGTTTTGGGAGCTCTTCTTCACAATTACCTATTTTTCTAACTAAAATTACATTTATGAGTAGCATAACGAACATCATGGGATTTGAGAGCCTGTTACCTTTTGAGCCCATTGCTTTATTTCTAAGTCCTGAGCACAGAATGCTTCAAGTTTCTTTCGAATAGAACCCAGCTTCTGTGGATTCACTCTGTAATTTCAAATTTAAACAATTACGACAAGATAGAAAATAAAAACTACTGTGAATGGAATAAATGGATGGATGGAAGCAGAAGTTCATGAGATCAAATCTTCATCTCTGGTTTTAGGTCTTGTGCAAACACATTCACGAGGGGGCTATTAATAAATGTTAAAAATATTAAATGTTGAATGTTTATAGTGGTTGATCCCGGCACTTAAACTGAAAGAAAGAAATATTTCAAATAAACATAATAGGCTTAAAAATCCCAACTGGCGGGAAGCAGACCATTTGTCTATTTACAAGTGGTCAGAGCGGGACTTGAATCCGCGACCCCCGGTCTGGTCCAGTCCTGTGACCAAACCACTCGGCCATGCTGTCTCCCTCCCTTATAGATCATTTTCTTTCACAAACCATTTGCCAATCACATCGGAACACTTTTAATGCACGCTTATGATTCGCTTGAATTCAGAGACGGACCCACGCAGCAGGGTTAATATTATTCACACTAATGGATAAATTTTCTCGCATGAATTGCGTGAGCTGTAGTCAGTAGGTTATAGGCTTCGGATGAAAACCAACAAATGAAGCCATAATTATAAAAATGTGAGTAACAGACTTACCTTATTCTGTTTATAGGTATCTTTTTATCTTCTAAAGCCTGAATTAAGAATAAACAACGAAGTAAGCAAACAACAAACACCTCCAACAACAAGTTTTATTCCCCCATTTGGTCTCATTTACATTATTAGAGATATCAGTTTGCACTGTTTAAAAAAAGACAGAGGGGGTCTGACTACCTGCAATAAAAAAACAATAAAACAATAAATAAAGAATTATCTTGCTTTTCTCAGAGTTAACAAGATGTAAACTACATGTTAGTACAATGGTCAGTTCAGTAAATCTGTTATATCATCAAGCCATTTTCAGTTGCATGAATTTAGACTCAGGTGATGAAATAGGCTGGAAATATTCAACAATTAGGTTGATGTTCAAATTCTCCTTTCTGATTGTCATTCATTTCTGTATGTGTTAGTTTTGAGAATTTCATGGTACATCAAGAAAATATTCCTAATAGAATTTCTTTGCATCCACCAGTTTCTGTGGGAGGCGTTTCAGTGGGAGGCGTGGTGGCCTCATGGTTAGTGAGCTCGTCTTCAGATCGAGAGTTCAGGGAGTTGACCAGGGACTTTGCGTTGTGTTCTTTGGCAAGACACTTTACTCCCACAGTGCCTCTCTCCACACCAGTGTATAAATGAGTACCAGCAAACTTAATGCTGGGGGTAACCCTGCAATGGCCTAGCATCCCATCCAGGGGGGAGTTGAAATACTCCTAGTCACTTCTTGGCACAGAAAGAGGGATAAGCTCCAGCCTGATGAGCCACTTGGTTTGTAGCCAGACTTTACCAACCTACACGTTTCAGTAGTATTTAGAAACTGATGCTGTTGTGTTACCTTAAGCATTTCTGGTTCCTCTGAAGGTAATAATACCAACAAGGATTGTCCATTCTTGTGATACCTGACAAACACAAGGTTTACCATTCATGAGGCCTGTCAGGGTACATGAACATGGGACACAATATTGACTAGAACAACAAATGATGGAGATGACTCACATTAGAACTGTGGCGTCGATGTGAGGACTTTCCAAAATTGCGACATGAAAAAGTTTGAAATTCAGATAAGGGAACATGCATAACCCCCCAACAGAGCCAAAAACAACAATTAAAACAACTAAAGGTTAACACATGAGCAAAACAACATTTTAAAAGAAACATTTTGTCTACAGTTTAACTTCTCTGTATCCACACTACATGTACATGGAAGGAATTTGAAAATGGAGGTTTCACTCTGAAAAAACATCAAATGTTTTCCTTCCACACTATGTCGATGAAATTTGAAAACACAACAATCACTGGTCATTTTGGATTTGTGTTTGNACATTAGAACTGTGGCGTCGATGTGAGGACTTTCCAAAATTGCAACATGAAAAAGTTTGAAATTCAGATAAGGGAACATGCATAACCCCCCAACAGAGCCAAAAACAACAATTAAAACAATTAAAGGTTAACACATGAGCAAAACAACATTTTAAAAGAAACATTTTGTCTGCAGTTTAACTTCTCCTTATCCACACTACATGTACGTGGAAGGAATTTGAAAATGGAGGCTTCACTCTGAAAAAACATCAAATGTTTTCCTTCCACACTATGTCGATGAAATTTGAACACAACAATCACTGGTCATTTTGGATTTGTGTTTGAGGAAAACTTGGGCAGGGAAATCACCTGATCATTGTGATGGTATCATTTTCAAAAAGCTCTGTTTTCAAAATGTTTTCCGTCCACACTTAAAACACAAAGCTGGCGTTTCCAGATTCCTCCAGTTTGAAGAGCATTTTTGAAAAGCTTCGTTTTCATGACGGATTAGTGTGAATGGTAGCTCTAACCATAGAAATAAAGCTGTGTTTTCAACTTCCTCCCATGTAGCATGGACGGGGCCTTAGACATGGTCACAGCTTCCAAGAGACTCTTATGATGGATGGTCTGACTGTAAAGTTCTGCAGTAGTTATAAAGACACTAGGCCTAGAATCTCAAGGAGAGTTATGGATGTCAACTGTGTGCACTTGACCAGCTGTACGCATTTGTGCATGCACGAATGGAATACTGTACCATTTTCTGGGTACAAAGGCAACAAATTCTAAACAACAACATATCTAGTTCATGTCCAGTCACCTTGCTGTTCTTCCTGCTCGATGAATGTATGTGTTGGCATCTTCAGGACAATCTAGTTGAACCACCCAATGAACTGCAGGAATGTCTGCAGAACAGAGACCAAATAGGTATTGTCACTTATACACAGGACTCTGAATTGAGTGGTCCAATCAAGCCCCAGCTAGTGCCATTGTGTTGCAGTATTTTTGGATGAGGACTCTATCAGACAACTGGAAAGTTGAATTTGTTGCAGGAAATGGGCCTGTTGAGCTATGAGTGTGTTTTGATTGACATTTACTCAATTATTGTCCCTTGTAGATGCTAATCCCAGTTGACCTGCACCTATTTAAGACCTCTATATTGATTCATTCTTGTTAATCTGCACCTCTTTTGTTCTAGGAGTTCAGGAATTGTTTGTGTTGTTTATCTATTGTTACATTTAACCAAAAAAAGAACCTTAAGTTGTAAACAGTGCAGGTCACCCAGCTAATCCCTTTTGGCCTTTTGGTTAACAATGACCCACTCTAATGACGAAAAAACACAGGACAAGTACTCACCAAGACCCCTAGCCGCAATATCTGTAGCAAAGAGCACAGCTTCAGTCTTCTTACAAAAGTCATTATAAATTGCCACTCTCTTTAACTGCTTTTGTTTGCCATATAGAGCCATTAGCGGTATTCCAGGTCGCAGGCGGCGAAAAGATTCATAGATGAATTTTACCTACCAGGAAGAACAAACAATAACAAATATTAAATTAACAACAATGAAGAAAGTCCTGAGAAAATATCCTGATTCATATAACTGAATAGAAATGTTCAATATCAAATTATTCTTTCTCACCTGTTTACAACTTGAAACAAAGACAAGAATCTTGCTTTTGATGTGATTACGAATAAAGGAGTGTAGAAAATCCAGCTTTTCATGTAGTTCACAAACTACATAACTCTGAGAGAAAAGGAAACTAGAGTAAAATTAACTTTCATACATTCATGACAGAAAGTCATCTAATCTAAGGTGCCATAATAACAATGTTCAGAAGACAAGAATGATAAGAAGAAACTGCAGTTTACTAGTTAGAGCAGTTTTAATTTGACCATAGAAAAAGTAATTGGTTTTGTATCACCACTACAAGATTGGCATTTAAAACTTGTGCCATTTTCTCATCCAATCGGAAGTAAAACCAAAACCAATCATGACTCACTTGCAAACATTTTCCTGTGCTTCACATCAGCTACTTGTAACTACTTTCAGTTTTGATTGATTCACAGTATTGTGTATGTCCTTTGTGATTGGGTAGAGTGGTTACATGTACTTTGGTTTTGATTTTACAACACTCCATTAAAAGCTGCTCTATTTCAAACACAAAGCTGTGATATCATTGATAATGAACCTGTGTGAGTCCTTTAGGAGTACTTGTTCTTGAGTTTTCATGTACAGCAATGTATTCAGGATCCTTAACAAGAGAAATAATATCAAATGAATATCAAATGATTGTAAAGTTTCACTAATATACAGACATTCAACAGCAGGTATAAACTAATTGAGCAGATGTACAATATTCCTTTTGAAGATCTCTCAAAAAATATTAATTAATAATTAGATGTGACACTAACACATTACATGTACATGCTAAATTTACAATATTGAAACATCATGATCAGAAAGTAATGCCACCAGACAATTTTCTTGAGCTGGAAACTAATGGTTTTCTAATGGTGCATTCCTTTGGGGTGTTCTGGATCAGGATCAGTGATCCAAGATCACTCATGAACAGGTCATGGGGCATGAAAGGAACTGACAAAACTACTCTGGTCACAGATTAATAAGTTCCTTTGATGCACCATGAATGATAATCCGAGTGATCTTAGATCACTCATCCTGATCCTGATCACCCCAAAGGAACACATGCTAAATTCTCAAGATGGGATTACAACCAAAACGTTTAGTGCTTAACTGGCTGCAACAGCTGGTTAAAACCATGTAATGTCACTTGTTTATGGACAAAATTCTTAAAACTGATTCATTAGAAACTTATCATTTTACTAGCTTCTTTACCTAAAGACAACAAAGATTGTACCTGCAGGCTCAACCTTGCTAGATCTTGTACTGATCTGTCAAAAGAATATGACTGAATTTCATCTCAGATCATAATTATTATATTACTTAGCCTCCCACATAAATGTTCTTATGGTTCATCACACAATCTTTCCATAACAAGCCAAAAGGATATCTGCATAGGAGGGTAAATATTACTAAGTCACTAAATCAGTTAGACTAACAATA